ACCATGCGGGCCAGGTGCGTGTTGCCGGGCAGGGGGATGCCGTCCACGGCGAGCCGCCACAGCGTTTCTTTGTTCTCGTTCTCCCACCGCACCCCCGACCACAAGCGGGCTTGCGTCGCCCTGAAGCGGCTTGTTTCCGCTGAGGAGGAAGGTGTCGTTTCCTGCGGGTGCAACGCTTCTTGCACAAATGCTGCCATCAAGCGTCCCCGTTTCTCCTCGGTGGCCCCGCATTGCAGCTGTGTCGCTAGGCGGACCGTCAGGCGTGTGAGTGGGACGGTTGTTGTGCCGCCCGGCATCTGCCATCCGACCCGCTTTAGGATCATAGCCATCGCCTGAGTGCTGTTGGGGGTGCTTGGAGCCGCCATATCCCCCGCCGTTGGCCTCTCTGGCTGCTGCTGTTGGGGTTGCTGCTCATGCGGCTGCGTCTGTAGCTGTTGCTGCGGCTGTTGCTGCTGTTGCGGCTGCGGCTGATGCTGTGTCTGTAGCTGTGGTTGTGTTTGCAGCTGTTGTGGCTGTACCTGCGGCTGTGGCTGCGGCTGTGGCTGCGGCTGTAGCTGCGGCTGTGGCTGCGGCTGTGGCTGCGGCTGTGGCTGCGGCTGTGGCTGCGGCTGTGGCTGTATGTATGTATGTATGTATGTATGTATGTGTGTCCTGCCATTGCGGACACTGTCCAGTTCTTTAACCCTTGAGACAACCTCCCCCCACCACCCCCCGGGGGGCCCCATGTGTTCCCCCCCAACCGGCACGTGGGTGACCCGCACTTCGGTGACCCGCCGAGCTGAGGAATCCTTGCGGGCCCAGGTCAAGGCCCTATGGCCTTTAGAGCCCATCCAGACCACCACCATCACCATCACCACCAACGATCAGAAATTCGTTACTTACTGCAGTTGCCGTACCCGCCGTACCTTCCTTTCTTCCCCATGTCCACCCCATCATGTCGGAAACCTGCAGCTGGCCATGGGCGTGTACGACGTCCCCGAGGTAAGGCACGTCGGTCAGGGGGGAATCTTTGAAGTGAAGTGAAGTGGAGACGCTTTGTGTAATCCTATGTCTTCTTTCAACTCTTTAATTTCCCTGTTTTCTCTCACCCACCTCGAGGCCTCGGGGCCCGTTCCCCTGCCACCACCCGCGCTCTATTTGGAAATGCTTTGCTCTGCCGCAGCTGATCGCGGTGGCTCGTACGACCATGTGTGAGGCAGGGGGCTCCCTGGAGTCCATCAGCCGCCTTCAGGTACGGCACTGTGTACTGAAGCCGGAACTGCCGCTAATTCCCCCACCCTGCCCCAACTTCCTACGCAAACAGCATAAACCTTTCCGCCGTGTACTATACTCCCGTGCCGTACAGGCTTTGTCGTACTACGCCGGCATGTTGGCGTACTACTGGCTTCTGGCCACCCCCGCGGTGGGGTTCGTGTTTGGACTCTACCTCTACATTTCAGTGAGTGGTGTGGGGGTGTTGGGTGGTGAGGTGTTGGGTTGGGTGTTGTGGGGTGGGGTTGGGGGGGGCCGGGTGGCAGTGGGCGCAGGGGGTTGTGCCACTACCAACTACCAACTACCACTCAGACCTCAGCCCGAAGGAACCTACAGTTATTCTCTTCTCATACCCGTTGCCCTCCCGTTGCCGTACTGTCGCATACTGTGTTGCCGTACGCAGGTATGTTGGTTCCATGTACATTACGATGAGGCCTTCTCCAGCCTGCGGGAGGTCAGCTGCAAGTCCTTTTGCCGGCTGCACATAGGGCCCTCGGGGGACCTGCAGCTGTACACGCTAGCGCTTGACGAGGTGCCGACGAGGTACGGCACCAGCAACGTCAACAGCTAGTACGGCAGATACGACTGTTTGTGGCATGCCATCTGTACGGAGTTATGCGTAGTTGCGGCGGCAGTAGCAGTATTGGTGGACGGAGTGCTGGTGCCAAAGGGGCGGCAGGTGGTCATGCCGGTGGGACCCAGCCGCCGAGCTGTAGCTCAGGGCCGCCGCGGAGATCAGTTCGGTCATCCGCATTCGCCTCCCACACCTCCCACACCTCCCACATGTACCACATGGCCCCCCCTCTTGGGGCAGTTACTAATCACTGCTTTGGTAACATTGCTTTCGACTCTGGCCAAGGTCCGGTGCTTTGGACTCACCAACAGTTGCCTCTCATCGACTTCCCCTCCCCTCCCCTCCCCTCCCTTCCCTCCTCGCGGATGGGTGGTTGTGCTTGCAGGTGGCAGGAGGACCCCCGATGGCGCGGCCGCGGGGGGGGAGGCAATCCGGGAGTGGTGGCGCACGAGGCGCACTACCCGAGTCGCTGGGTGCCCACCAGGGCGGAGGCGGGGCGAGACGCCGCGGTCGCTGCGAATCAAGCCGGCGGCAAGGCCGGCAAGGGCAGCAGCGCCGCCGCCGTAGCTGTCCCCGGCGCTGCGACTGGTGGAGCTGCATCGGCCCGATGGCGCCTTGTCGACTACGTGTTCGTGCCTCGCAAGCAGTTGTAGCAAGGCGCAGGGAGAAGTGTGGCTATAGCTGGGGGGTGTAAGTGCATATAATGGAGCGGCGGTGCGGCTGCGACATTGCGAGGTACCTTACCTCCCCCTAAACAGGGCCCCGCGGGACGGGAGACCCCGCTGGGGGCAGCGCTCGAGAGCCGCCTCCACTGCCACTGTCGGCGCCGCCTTCGTGAAGCCTCCAGTGGCTGGGTGTGGGTGTGGGTGTGGATGGGGTGATGTGACCACCACACGGGTTTCGATGTCAAGTAGGCGATTGATCAATGACGGTGCTGTCCGCCGGCCGCTGTGGAACCGGTGTCAGGGTGCAAATGAGGGTTTGTGTGATAGTGGGGGGAGGTGTGTACTAGGGAGGTGTGTACTAGGAAGGCGAACCACACGGTGGTGCACTCGATGGCGGCGGGATGCAGGCGGCCGTGCTGCTGTCCACGTGCCTGAGGATCCCGCGCGCTGTTTGCCTTGCTTTGGTCACCCCGGGGAGGAGGGATCGTTACGGACCAATCGAATCGGAGCCTCAAATCGGAGCCGCTCTCGTGGGCTCACCCCCCGCACCCTTAGCCGCGTCAGAGGCCCTGGTGGCCCTCCCCACTGTGTCGATGGAACCCAACCCGCAAACACGTGTGCACACCACTCTACTTGCCTTACACAAAAGATGTGTTTATGTGCGTGTATGTGTGTGTGTATGTTTGGAGGGCAACGGACCCCAAGGGGTAACAAAGATATGGATGACCCGCTGCATGCTATCCTGAAGATGTACCTAGCGAAGCAGTGCGTCAGCGCGCTGGCAGCAGACACAAATATAACCAAACCCATATATTATTATGTACGACTTCTCACACAAAAAACTCACCCTCCCTCTCCAACATGTGCTCACAGGGGCAGCGTCTCCGCCGCAAGAGAAATGATAAACCAAACCATCAATCAGTGCCGTACAGTGACCTCCAAAAGCCCGGTTTCGCAACGGGCTTTTCACTCTACTTTCTGCTCTCAGGCCAATCGCTCACATGACCTCCCGAGGCGGAGGAGGGGCAACGGCAACAGCACCCACTGCCCTCCGCCCCAAAAGAGAAAGCCTGCCCTCCGCTTCCCTGAAAATACACACACACGCCCACGCAAACAAAAAAGCAAAGACCAAAAGGCAAACTAAGAAACACGCGGTAAAGTGCAACACATGGCTCACCCGCCCTGTAACGTTGTTATCAGCTTATTAGCCTCTCTTATACCTCGTGACGATTCCGCCGCCGCGCCAGCTCTCGGCCATTGCCCGCCATGCGCCACTGTCCAGCGGGAAATCACCACCGGCGCGCACACACCGCCCAACACGACCGTTTAGCTCTTATATACACATTCCGCCTCACACATACTCCGCCTCGACCATATCTACATACACACCATGTAGTGCCATCGCCCTAGTCCTTGGAAAGTTTTCCGATTTGATCATTTGAATTGACATTAATTATTCACCGTTGAAGCACCGCCGTTGCAGGGTGAGCACCAGGGGTTGGCTCAGGCTCGAGCCCCCCCCCGCTAATGCAGCCCGCAAAACACTATCTCGCGCATTCTCGCCGTGTTGCCCGTCAGGGACCAAAAGGGGGTCCTCGCCATGGCAACAGCAGCAGCGGAGCAGCAGGAGCAACGGAACGAGCGCCCCGAAGCATCTCCGGCGCTCACGTCAAAAGTGACACAATCCATGCGGTGAATCGTGAATCTTGTTGAGTTCCCAATGCGGCTTTACTGCTGCTGTGTGTTTTTCCCCCACCCCACCCCACCCCACCCCATGATGAATGCTGACGAGCTGATGCGCTCTCCCTATATGCGCTCAAACGCACGCACACGCACACGACCGCTAAACCACCACCATCACCATCACCACCACTACCACCGCCACCACCAGCACTATCGGTTCGGGACGTCAATGCGCAGTATAGTATAGTATACCGTTCTCATGTCTATCTGTTGGTACGCAAGCAGGAAATTTCGGTGCTATAGTAGGACGGCGGTATGGGCAAGCACGCAGCCTGCGAGATTTGAGGACGCATGTGCTGCCGCAGCCGTCCGCGCTGTTGCCGGTTTGGCGCGAAAACCGACATTGCGCGTTGCGGCGCAGCTTCGTTCCCATCAACAGTCACCTATCCGTCTTCCACAGCATCCACCAACACCAATGACCCCTCCAATATCACGGCCACCGCCATCACGGCCACAAAATGGATTGCTACAACCGAGCAGCAGCGGCACTGGGGCAGCTCCGCAGCAGCAACCAATCTCGCCAGCGTCCTCTTACGGCAACGGCACCGCCCCAAGGCGGCGAACGCGCCGTTGGCCGCAGCTGGTTCCCACCTGTTCCCCACAACATAAAGTTTAAATGTGGGTTTCGTAATTTCCTAAAGTCAGCGGCTCCGT